ACCCACACACACCACCCACACACACACACACACACCCACACACACACACCACACCACCACCACACACACCCACACCCACCACACACACACCACACACACACACACCCCACACACCACAACCACACACACCACAACCACCCACACACACACCCCCACAACAACCCCACACACAACCACCACACCACACACCCCCACCCACACCCCACACACACACACCACCCACCACACCCACACACCACCCCACACGCACATACCCCACACGCACATACCCCACACGCACATACCCCACACGCACATACCCCACACCTACCCACACATACCCCACACACATACCCCCCCCACACACACATACCCCACACGCACATACCCCACACACACATACCCCACACACACACACACACACACACACCCTGCCTCCCTAGTCCGTTTAATTGAGAAGTTTATCCTACGTTATAATTTATTCATGGCAAGAACATTCTGTACCAGGTATTGTTAATTTCAATGAAAAAATTCACCAATACGCAATTCAGCATTATGCATTCTGCTGTTTCTGCAGCAGAGGTTTAGTATATAAATAACCTTAGGTTGTTACTGTAATCGCTCCGGGGTTTTTAAGTGGTTTTTATGAAGTTAGAGATGATTAGATAATGAGAAAATTGAAGTTAGGCCCAAACAAAAATTAGTACTACCTGGGGTTTTTCCCCACTGTTCCCCCTTTTCCTTGCTGTGAATGCTGTTTTTGCCATGTTTTTAACCCATTTGCCCTGAAAACATGAATTAAAAAGGAAAAAATTTAAAATGGCACAGGTTAGATGGTGATTCAGGAAGTACATTTAGAACGGGTGGTAAGTGTGAAATAAAAATAGTTGTTAGAAAGTTTGATGCATCTTTATTCGGAACTAAAAGAAAAGAAAACAATCATGTCAGGGGAAGACACACCGGCTTCTGTTGTATACTGGAAAAAGTGGGGCAGTTAATACCCCCTTGGCTTTTGTATTTACCATTCCAAATTATTACAGTTAGGCATCAAATTGCTGTTATTGAAAAATTTAAGGCTTTTTTTTTTTTTACTCGCCCAGGGTGAAAGTTTAAAGTCATGCATTTGGGTTGTGCTTTTGCTGCCTGCCTGGAACGAAAGCAAAAACGAGAAAAGGAGTGTGGGGTTCTATGTGTTTGATCCCCCACCTCCCTTTCCGCGTTCGGTCTTTCCGAAAAAGACTGAAACAGAGAGTTGTCTGCCCCTCAGGAGTGTAAGCCTATTGGTTAGAAAATTTTTTTTGTTCATTGTATTGAAGAAAGTTTGAATTGTTTGATACATTCTGCTTTATTGAAATTTGTAATATTGAATTAGTAGAGAGAATAATCAGTGGCCCCTCGGTTACAGTGTAACCCATTCCAGAAGGTCGGCCAAAAACCCAAAAAAGGGCAAAAACCCCAAAAAAATATTTCCCCATAAAAATTTAAGTAAATAAAATTAATTCATTCCAACAGCCAAAAATTTAAAAAAAATACTTTTTTAAAAAGATTAACTAACACAATAACCCCGCCAAAAAAAGAGGAAGTTACGACGAGTTTCGGTCTGCTTGGACCTTGAAAAAGTCCACTAACAGGATGGGCAGGATGGCTATATATAGGCGGGAAGAGGTGAAGGTAGTAGTAGTAGTAAAAGAATTTATTAATCCCGAAAATTTGAAATAAAAGACCATGCACAACACCCCGGGCATCCCCATCGTAGAGTTTCGCCATCCAGCAGCCCCGGATGGCGAAACGCCCCAAAAAAAGACAAACCGACGCCCCACTGGCTTTTAAATTTTTTCTAGTTGTAGTGTAATAGAAGAAAAGAGGTAGTGGGTGGTAGAATGGGAAATAAGGTGCGAGCCAGTCAAAACAAAGGAAAGGAGCACTGCAAAAGAGCAATGCCCCGAGGAGGAGAAGGCACAGAGGTGCTGAAAGGGGGGAAATGGTGAAATAAAAAAATGAAAAAGGAACAGAAACCGAGCAGGAGAGAGAAAAAACAACCCCGAGGAGAAAAGGAAAGAGGAAGGGGAAGGGAAGAAGAAAAAAAAAAATGAGGATTCAGGTTAAATCAGGGTGTTCTGAATTTGGAGATTTTACAATGAGGGGAAAGGAAGGATCTAAGAGTGAAACCAGAGTAAGGTTCATACAAGGAAAATTGTGTATTTGAGGGTTCAACTAGACGGCGACTGTCGAGTTGGAAGTGGGAAGAAGTTTTTGCGAAGACCCGTCAAAAGGATGGCTATGATCTCGACGTGACAGAAAAAGGGTTTTTTATGTCGGGAACCTAAAATATTTTGTCCCAAGTCGTCGAAAAAGGGAAAGACCCGTTTCTCCGAAGTATTGAAGGGACAGGAGGAGCAAGAAATAGAGTAGCACCCGGGAAATTGTGAGGGAGGGAGGTATGAAGAATTAGTGCGAAGATGTTAGTTGAGGAAGGGAAGCTTTATGTCAAGGGACGGGAGAATTGTTGAATTAGAAAGACCGGGGAAAAGTAGGAAGGGAGAGGGTAGAAGGTTCCCCCCGAGTAGGGTTTGGGGAGAAGAATTGGTTTGCACGTGAGAGGGCAGGTCTTTGAATGGGAAGGGTGCCAAAACACGAGAACGAATTTGAAAAGTGGAAATTTTTGCTGGAAGGAAAGGGATCACAGATGCGGAGGGCACGGAGAAAGGGGGATAAGAAAAAACTTTTCTTTACGGGGGGCTGATGGAAAAGTAGTGAATGTACATGCCCCCTGTGCATGGTTTTTCGGTAAAGGAAAGGAAAAACCGTTCTGAGCGGTGGCATGGACATCAAGGAAAGGAAGCAAGGGATTAATTCCCATTACTTTAAACTTAAGGAAGGGGCAAGATTATTTAAAAGCTTCAAGAAAAGGTTGGGAAAAGACGGAGTCATGAGGCCCAAAACAAAGTGTCATCCAATAGCGAGCCCGAGTGAAGGGTTTCCCCAAA